CTCACCTCTTCCCTCACTCCCCCCCCCTCCGGCGACGCCTCTCTATTTGGCTTCAGGATCCTTTCTGGTTTCGTCCAACATGAGTACCGAGTCATTTCGCTTTCTTCGGGTTTACTCTAGCGCACCTGGACTTGACTCATTGTCGTCCTTGTTGCGAAGGCCTTGACTCATTGTCGGCCTTTCATTCTGGCGGTTTGACTCCTTGTCGCTGCTATTCTCTCAAACGGCCCGATGGAAGACCATGCTCATTGTTTTCTAACAGATCGGATGCTCTTTCACTATTGTCAGTCCTTTCCTGCCCGCCCTTCTAGCTCGTTATTCCGCCGCCTCTTTCAAACGTGAGTACTTCGAATGGTTTACTTAGTCTCCCTTTTGGCGCACATGGATTTGACTCTTTGTCGTCCTTGTTGCAAAGGCTTTGACTCCTTGTCGGCCTTTCTTTCTGGCAGTTTGACTCTTTGTCGCCGCTATTCTTTCAAAGGGCCGGGTTGAAGTCAATGCTAATTGTTTGGAAACAGATCGGTGTTCCTATGCTATCCCATTCTATCATGTCAGGCCAATGCTTGCCCCCCGTTCACGCGCCTTATTCCACCGCCTCTTACAAACGTAAGTACTTTGATTGGCTTACTTTGTCTCCCTTCTGGCGCACATGGACTTGACTCTTTGTTGTCCTTGTTGTGAAGGCTTTGACTCCTTGTCGGCCTTTCTTTCTGGCGGTTTGACTCTTTGTCGCCGCTATTCTCTCAAAGGGCCGGGTTGAATTCAATGCTAATTGTTTTCACACAGATCGGAGGCAGTTCTCGCGCTAATCTTTCAGACCAATGCTGCCCGCCGTTTGAGCTGGTTATTCCGGGACCTCTATCGCTTGCGCACACTCCGATCCACCTTTTTGATCACAACAAGTACGAAACCTGCTGACTTTGCCCTCGCAAACATGAGAGGTAATCTGGCCCCATTTCATTAACCCCGCTTGTCTCACCTGGAAGTGTAGTGCTCTGGATACCCCTGGCAGTAATGCGATAGTCAACACCGCAGCCCTTCAAGTCGCTGCTTGCGGTAGCCAATCCAGGAAAACGCTTCCCTCTATTGTCAATCTCACCGTCAACGGCCAACCTAGTGCTACGGAAGCTCGCCTGGCATTGCTATCGTCAACCCTGCACCCACTCATGTGGCTGGCCGTCGAATTCGACGCAACAATAGCCCAGACGCTATGCAGCGATTTGTTCCTTGGCCTTGTTTAGGCACCTACGTCTCTCTCTCTTTTGGCAGGGTAAGTTGGCCTCGATAACCTACCTAGATGCGCTCATCGGATATATCTATCTCAGAACCCGAATGCCAATGCCTAGTTTAAGGTATCAGCTAAGTTCTTCACTATGGCTAGTCAGTTATACATATCCGTCGTGCAAGCTATTGAGTATGTCCGATCCGCCCAATTATTGCTGAGAGCTGACCCCGAGATTAGGGACTTGCGTCTCGTCATTACAATGTATTCCAACTGTAGCCACTGATGGAGCGCAACATTCACCCTGACACGCCTAACATGCAACAACATTTCCCTTCGGGTTAGCTTGGTTTTGTCCTCACGTAAGTAAAAAGATGAATATATATTAGAAATTCAGTCTACGCCTCTCTGACCTTTCCCATTCAGAAAAAAGCCCTTGAATTTTGAACCAAAAAGCCAATACCAACCGTAACAACTGTAATGTCAGAACCTCGTCAACTTCGCTCTCGTAAGCCTGTTGTCGTTCCACCCCCCGTGGTGGGTAGAGGCAATGCTTCCACCAAGGTTAGAGACTCCTCTGCCACCGTTTGCCACGTCGTTAAAATATTATTGCAGAAGGGAGCAGTGAAGGCGGCACAAAGCACACAAAACGATAGGTATGGTCTTACCCTTGGTAGCGAAAACTTTCACCTCAACATATTTCAGTGTGACAGATGCTGAGACTGGCGGCGATGTCGTCGGGAAGACTGCACCAACTCAGGCCACAGGCCTTCATACCCGAGTCAGGAAGGTCACTGATGCTGTAGTCAACACCACCGTCGACGATGCTCCTACACCGGCTGCTGCTCAACCTAGTCGGGCCAAAAAGTAGGTTTGCCACTCAAGGGTAACCAACGAACTAATGTTTTGTTGCAGAAATAAAGCCAAGCCTGTAAAGAAGAATCTACCGAGTCAGTCGGACCCCAAAAACTCGGAGGCTGTAGTCAACACCGCCGTCGACGACGCCCCTACTCCGGCACGTTCCAGGCCTAGTCGGGCCAAAAAGTATGTGTTTGCCTCTAAAGGGAAATCAACAAAGTAATGTTTGGGTGCAGAAACAAGTCCAAGGCAGAAACAAAAATTCTACCAAGTGATTCTGAACCCGAAAAGTCTGCGGACAACATCAGGTGAGGTCTCGTTAGCGATTCATCCGGGGTGGGGCGAGTCTGATCGTGAACTTTAGGATCATGGACAACCAAGATGGGAACGACGCCAATCAGTTGCTGGATTCCGATCAACTGAAGGGGATCGTTGACGACGGAAAAAACCCCTTCGTCGACAATGACTCCACTGATGCGGTCCCTGGAGGGAGTGGTGCGGCGTCTGGGACTGGGACCAACTCGGCTCTGGTCAAGCTCAGTCTGAAAAAGTCATTCTGCATGTATGGCCTCAAGCAAGTGTGCGTATCTCTCTCTCCCTTTCTCAGGGCTCTCCGTTTGACTCTTTGTCACGGCGAGTCCTCACCGGAGTGAAATTTGACTCCTTGTCGTTTCACTCGGGTGTCACCAGCGTTAACTCCTTGTTCGCTGCTTCTGCTCCGTCAATATCTCTCTAACGACTATATAGGGTGGAGAAGATTGCTGATCCAGACGCAACACCTACGCAGGAACTTATATCCCACGCCAATCGGTTGGTTCCCTATACTTTGACATTAATCGGGTGTACGACTGACTGTAACGTCACAGAGTCATAGACAATCTGACCGTAGCGGCTGAAGACGTGTTCTTTAACAGAGATCCGAAGATCCAGCAATCTTATCTGGAGAACTCCATGCCTGCACGCCGCGCTGACAGTATGGGGGGCAAGTGAGTGCTCATGCGGTTCTCTGTTGAAGACGATATTGATATTCTGCATCAGGGGGTTGTCTGGTTCGATTGGCTTCGGCCTGCCGTTGTCCGTCCAGGCCACATTGACGTGAGCCGTTGTTTATAACAAATTTTCCTCTCTTGCTTACCATGCCTTGTAGTTCTGCATCTGTCAGAGTTTCTCCCCCAATGGAGGGCACGTTTTCAATCAAGTCAACTCTCATTCCGACGTACGTATCTTGATTCATTAGAGTAAGGGTGGTTTTTGACTACGCTACAGAAATGATTCGTCTGGTATCTTTCCCTCTTCACCCATTCCTGGCCCCACTCAGGCTGAGCCTCGTTCCCGTGGCCTATACACGTTACAGAACAGGCCCGACGTACCCTCGCTCCTTCTTGTTGATCCTACATTGGCCTATCGTGAACCCAAGACCCCTGACCCGGCGTCCAGTGATGACGAATTCGATTCGACGATGCCATCAGATGATAAGATGCCCCTCCCTCCGCCGTCATCTCTTCCGCATCCAGTTACGGTTTACTTCTGCCGTATTGGCAGAGTCATGGAAGGGATGGGTTATATCGGACATCGATCGAGAATTCGGCTAGCCACCGATGCTCACCCTGCCCACCAGTATACCAAGTATACTTGCTGGCACAATCGGGCGAGTGAACGATGGGAGGCTCTCCCCGAAGGCTACACCACCGATCCCCCTCCTGCGACGAACCGTCTTGGCGAGGTGGAGGTATGGTGGGAGGAAGCGGAGATATTGGCAAGGCATCGGGCTAAACGCTTGGCGGCAAAGAAAGCACAGTCTAGTGCACAACCAGAGTCAGGGGGCGAAGCTGAGTCAGGCGACGATCCAGAGTTGGGTGATGAAGCAGGGTCAGGCGACGAAGCAGAGACGGGCGACGATGGACACGAAACAGACGCAGAGCACGAAGCAGAAGGGGGCCAGGAGGCAGACGCAGAGCACGAAGCAGAAGGGGGCCAGGAGGCAGAGTCAAGCCATCGGAGACGCCAACCTGCCCACATCATCCATGGCAATCAACTTCCTCAGGCACAGTGCATACCAGACGACGAACCAGACTCAGAGGCCGACTTACAGATTGACCACCAACGTCCTGGGTACAGGACAGAGTCTACATTGACGCCCAGTGACTATAGTGAGTCCACGAAGGCAAAATTGAAGCAACGTGAACATGCTCAAAAGAATCGGGGACCTGGACACGACGAGATGAACACTGAGGAGGAGGAGGCTGATGACGAAAGGATAATGAAGGAAGCCGATGAACAGGATGACCGTCGTCGAATCAAGAGCCAGGGCATTCAGTAGATACACTATGGAACCATAACAATAGAAATTGACAATTGTCCCAATAAGTCATAGGGCTACCCCAATGGGCCCAATTACAAAAGACATTATGATACTATACATTGGCCCAACAACATGACAATATGTATATTTGATTGTTGGGCCCAACGACGGTGCCACAGTCCAAGCTAAGGGTTTATAGATTGGCCACATGGCTTAAATGGGGGTAATTTTGGCCGTTGATATATGATGGTATTAAGGTACCATTGATAGTTGGGCCCAATGAAGGGAAATCGTTAAGGGAGATGGTTGGGCCCAATGGCCCAATTATTAAGCTACGGTTGATGGTTGGGCCTAATGTAAGGTATTTGTTAAGGGAACAGGTTGGGCCCAATGGTAAAATTTCAATGCTATGGCTTGTAAGTTGGGCCCATGCCATGATATAGGCTATAGTTCATAGGTTAGCCCAATGATTATTTGAATTTTGCGGGTGTGGGCTTTGGTCTGGTAAACCCGCAGGTCTGCTCCTGTTCCATTGGACCCACGGCCGCACAATTGTGCAATTACACCCGCGGGTTGGCTATTGTGCAGTTACCCCCATGGGGTAGCTCATGTTCCGTTACCCCTGCAGGTTGCCATGCGGGCCAGATCATGTTCCGTTACCCCCGCAGATCAACAATTGATCCATTACACCCTCGGGCTGGCTGTTGTTCATTACCCCCACAGGGCAGCTCTTGTTCCGTTAGCCCTGTGGGTCGCCACACAGGCCAGATTATGTTCCGTTACCCCACGGGTCGACAATAGGTCCATTACACCCACAGTATCTTATTCCGTTACACCCACGATGTCCAGCTCTTGTTCCCTTAGACCTGCGGAACCTTCTTCCGTTTGGCCCGCGGGTTTCCAATTACAGCCATGGACCATTTGTGGCTCCCCCGTGGGTCTCTGATTACACCCATGGATTACCTGCTGCTTGTTACACCTGTGGCCACCCATGGACCACCTGCTGCTCCTTGACCAATTGGCCCTCTTCCATCAGCCCCCCACCCATGGGCCACGTTTGCAGCTGGCCTGCAAAATGGACCAACAATTGTGCCTTTACATTCACAGACCGTTATTCCGTTACACCCGTGGACCAGCAATAGTGCCATTACATCCACGGATGAGCTCTTGTTCCATTACACCCATGGGCTGTGCTCTCATCCGCAGACCTGCTCTTGTTCTGTTACCCCCGCGGACCAACAATTCTTTTATCCGTGGACCGACGGATTACCTACCACTCCGTTACATCTGCGGACACCCACGGACCACCTGCTGGTCCTTAAACAATAGGCCCTCTTCCATCAGCCCCCCACCCGTGGGCCACGTTTGCAGCTGGCCTGCAAAATGGACCAACAATTGTGCCTTTACATTCACAGACCATTATTCTGTTACACCCGTGGACCAGCAATTGTGCTGTTTCATCCACGGACGAGCACTTGTTCCATTACACCCATGGGCTGCGCTCTCATCTGCGGACCTGCTCTTGTTCTGTTACCCCCGCGGACCAGCAATTCTTTTATCTGTGGACCGACGGATTACCTACCACTCCGTTTCTGCAGACACCCATTGTTGCTGTTGGACCCATGGGCCAACAGGTCTTCTGTGGCACCCATGGGCCACACCATTTGTTAAGCCCATTGGTCCATTACATCCGCGGGCCACCAGCTAGAGCTCCACGGACGTGAACATCTGGATTTGTATTTAACATGCTGAATGTCATTGCCCCGAAAATGTGGCTGAAAGAATGTCCGGATTTGTGATTAACTTGGTGAACATCACTCATCCGAAAATGCGGCCGAAAAAACATCCGGATTTGTATTAGTGCAACAATGTCCGAAGTTTCAGATGTAATTTTGACATGGACCAGACAATCCCCCTTGGAATGCTCTGAAGTCCGAAATTTTTTATATTACTTCCATCCGGATATAATAATCCCCATAGACTGCACCAATGTCCGAAATTTTGGATGTAATTTTGACAGGGGCCAGACAACCCCCATGGAATGCTCCAATGTCTGAAATTTATACTTCAAGTACCTGAAAATGCAGTCACAAAAACATCCGGATTTGTATTTAACATGCTGAATGTCATTACCCCTAAAATGTGGCTGAAAAAATGTCCGGAGTTGTAGTTGACTTGGTCAATTCACTGCTCCGAAAAGCGGCCGAAAAGAACATCTGGATTTGTATTTAACATGCTGAATGTCATTGCCCCGAAAATGTGGCTGAAAGAATGTCCGGATTTGTGATTAACTTGGTGAACATCACTCATCCGAAAATGCGGCCGAAAAAACATCCGGATTTGTATTAGTGCAACAATGTCCGAAGTTTCAGATGTAATTTTGACATGGACCAGACAATCCCCCTTGGAATGCTCTGAAGTCCGAAATTTTTTATATTACTTCCATCCGGATATAATAATCCCCATAGACTGCACCAATGTCCGAAATTTTGGATGTAATTTTGACAGGGGCCAGACAACCCCCATGGAATGCTCCAATGTCTGAAATTTATACTTCAAGTACCTGAAAATGCAGTCACAAAAACATCCGGATTTGTATTTAACATGCTGAATGTCATTACCCCTAAAATGTGGCTGAAAAAATGTCCGGAGTTGTAGTTGACTTGGTCAATGTCACTGCTCCGAAAATGCGGCCG